ATAAATTTGAGTCTTCTCTTTTCTTTTATTTTTGATAATGTTGTTTAAGAGTTTATCCATCTCATTTATGCCTTCAAAGAACAAAATCATCCATCCATTCATTCTTTGTAATGTTTTCTTAGTCTCAATTGCATTAATTTATTCTCTGATTGTTATAATTTCCTCCCTTGAATGGGTTTTGTGCTTTACTTGCTCTTCTTTAGAAACTTGAGGTGTAACGTTATTTGTGCTCATTCTCTTTACTTAATGCGAGAACTCACCACAATAAATTTCCCTCTTAAGACTGCTTTCATTGTGTTCCCCAGGTTGTACTACATTGAAGCTGCATTTTAAAATTTCTTTCATGTATGTATTCAGTACAGGGTCTCACTATAAAGCTTGATTCATAGTGATCCTCCTGTTTTCAACGTCCTCAGTGCTGGGAATTACAGGTGTGTGCCACCAGGTCCAGACTTGTAGCTGCATTTTTGTTTAATCATAGATACTGTTGAATTATTTCTCCTTTAATTTTATCTGTGACCCATTGGTTGTTCAGAAGGGTTTTATTTAATTTCCAAGTGATTATGGATTTTGCAGTTTCTTTTGCCACTAATTTCCAATTTCATTGCACTATGGTCAGATAATATGCATGGGACAATTTCAATCCTTTGAATTTATTTAGGTATATTCTAAGGGGTAGTATATGCAGCTGAGAAAAATGTGATGTTGGGTGAAGCACTGGAAACATTGGCTAGGCTCATTTTTTCACAGGTTTGGTTCTGTTTTGTTAGTTTATTTTGGTCTGGTTTATCCATCTATTTGTGTCAGTGGGTTATTAACATTCCCTATTACAATTGTGTTATAGCTCACTTGATTTTTCATGTGTATTAATATTTGTCTAATATAGTTGGGTGCTTCTCTATTTGGCACGTGCATATTTATGATTATTACCTCTTCCTCTTGAAGTTTTCCACTAACTATGTAATGACTTTCTTTATCTCTTTTGATCATTTTTGGTTTGAAGTTTACATTGTCTGCCAACAGAATAGCTACTCCTGATTTTTTCTGGATTCCTATTGCATGGAGCATTGTTTTCCACCCTTTGATTTTTCAGTCTCTGACTTTCCTTTTGAGTATATGCTTTTCATCTATAAAACATATTGTTGGATCTTCTTTCTGGATCTCTTCTGGCAGTCTTGTTTCATTTGGTTGGTAAATTGAAGCCATTTACATAGATGGTTAAAACTGATATGTATTGCCATGCGATTTTTATTCTCTTGGCTCCATGCTTTCCCCCTGTTTAGTTGCTTGTCTTACCTGATGGTTTCTTTATGTTGCCATTCTTGGAATTGTAGTCATTTTTATCTTTGTCTAGAATATCTTTCAGTATCCTTTGTAGTGTTGATTTGATGGTCTTATTTCTCCATTGATTTTGAGAGATAGTTTTGCAGGGTACATGAATCTGGGCTGCATGAATCCAGTTGTTTTCTTTCAGGACCTCAAATACTTCATTCCAACCCCTTATTGATTTGGAGGTTTGTTCTCAGAAATCTGCCAAGATTCTGATGAGCTTTTCTTTATAGGTGATTTTTCTTTTCTCCAATAGCTTTTAATATTCTATTCTGTGCTAAATTTCTGAGATCTGATTACATGCCTGGGTATAGATTTATTTTGATAATAGATACTTTGACTTCTATATACCTCACTAATTTGTATGTCAGATTCTTGCCCATGATTGGGAAATTTTCTGCTATCACTTCTACAAATAGGAGTTGTTTTTTTTTTGTGTCATTTGTGTGGAGTCCTGCTTTTTCACTGACACAAACTATTTTTATATTATTATTCTTTGCATCATCTTGCAGCTGTTAAATTCTGAATTACTGGTTCCTTGTTATTTTCCTGAGTGCTAGCTGTGATCCCGCTTTCAAGATCCGAAAGTTTGTCTTCAGTTTCATTCAAACAGTTTCGCCAGCTTTCAGTGGAATTTTTAGTTTCCTGGATGTCTGTTTGAATCCATCTCATGGATTCTATTTCTATCCTATATTGATTACTCATAGCTTCTATCATTTTCCTGTTGTCTCTATTTTTTTTAACCTATGACTCTTTTACATGTACTGAGCAATTGTTTCATGACTGTTTTCATTTCCTTTTTACTTTTTTTTTTTTTTTTTTTTTGATGGAACCAGGGATTGAATTCAGGCCCTTGTGTTTGCCAGGCAAATGCTTATTCTACTGAGTCATCTCCCCAGTCCCTTCACTTCCTTTTTAAATTTAGAGATTGTTTCTTATCATATTTTCTCTATGGCCTCAAGGATTTGTTTCTTTGGATGCTATCATTTCAGATATATTGGAAGTATGTCTCCCATTTTCCTCTATCTCATTATTTCTTCGACTTGTACCAGGTGTGCTGGAGGTCTGAGGTTGCCTTTTGCTTATGCATCTTATCAGTTTCTATTTTAAAGATTTTATTTTGTTTTTTGTGTTGATCCTTGTAAGCTTTTGTAGCAGGTAGCTTTATCACTAGTATTACAGTCTCTTTAGGTAAAAGAAATGATCAAGGATGTCTTCTGTGTGGAGGGAATACTTGTATTTGCCCCAAGATCCTAAATTTCCAATTAATTAAGAGTGAGATGTTGATATCTATTTGGCTCAACCCCCAATCCTTTGGCATTGTGGTGTGTTGATGTTATTACCCCTGAGTTTCCGAGTATTGTTACAGAAGTAAACACAATTGATTATAACAGATATGACAGCCTACCTGAGATAGTATAATTAACCATGAGAATGGCATCAAGCACAGTTGAGAAAGTGACAAACTGTGATAATTATTAATTTTGTACTTTAAACCATAGGAACAAATATCTACAGTTATTTAACAGTATGGATCATAAACTAGGAGCTTGTAAGTCATGTCTTTTCTTGGTAGAGTAGTTTTATGCTGTGGTAGGGAAATTTAACAAGGATAGTGGATGAAACAGATAGCTGAAAAGAAATAAAGTAGAAGCAAGGCTGGAGGACAAAGGATGACCACAGGCCTGGGAAACTAGAGAAGAGGGCAGAAGAGTACAAGTATTAGGCAAGAGATTATTGAAGTTAACCATAAAAGTTAGACAGACTCTTCACTCGTATGAAAATATGAGTAAGTCTAGAGGGATAAGTTCAAGAAAGGGAGAAAGATGACTAATGGATTGGGACAAAATACAAATAACAGAGAAAAAACAGAAAAAAAGAAGGAAGAAAGAAGAAAAGTATGATATACTAAAATAAACAACAAATAAACAAACAAATCAAAGTTCTTCTGATGTTCACTGAGAGCCCCAAACTGCTGGATGAGACTGCCAAACCTGCAGTAGAGTTTGTGTGGTATTTGAGGCTGATGGCTTCCAGGTGTGGAGGTCTGGATCCAGACTCTTGAGCCAGTACTTCCTCCATGTCCCTTAGAAGCCTATTTCCTTACCCTATTTCTCTTAGCATTTCTTTCCTTGTGGCTGTCTGCTTTCAGACAGAATCTGGCCGATCCAAGTCCCAGCACCATTGACTTCTTCTGGTCCATGTTCCAGATTCTGTGTTCCTCTTCCACCGCCAAGTCCCTGTTCTCTCAGGTTGTTTGTTACAGAGTGGGCTAGAATGCTGCATGGTCCTCTGCTCCTTCCATTGCCTTCCATGGCTGCTCAGTCCCAGTACTTACTCTGGCCAAAGGGAGGAGTGCTCCCTTCCTTCACATTGCCTTACAAGGCCCATCACCACCCTCCTCCTCTGCTGTAGTCTGTACCTTTATTGGTGAGGTGTGATGGGGTGCTCTGAGGTGCTTTTATGCTTCTTCCCCCAAGGTGGGGATGGTGCCAGGCTGTGTAGTCCCATGAAGCAAGGCTGATTTCTCGGACCTCTTTAGCTAGAGGTATAGGGGAGAGGTTAGTGGTTATATTTATTAAGCACCCCTGTAGACTTTAACCTTGTTCCTAGAGATTCCAGTTAGCTCTCTGGTGTACAAAATACAGGGGAATAAAAGGAAAAGAAAAAAGGGAAAGCAGTCGATTTTCAGGGAGGGAACAGTAAACTCACCCCTCTCTGTTCGTCTATAGAATTTACTGAGTGTTTGTAATGTCCTCCGTTTGGAGGAAGGTAAATGAGGCAGAGGACACTATATCTCAAGTCAAGCTTGATTTAGCCACATTATTTTAGTATAGCCATCTTATTCCTTCTTTTAAGATTGCAGATATGGTGGGCAGTCATCCAGATCCATGACCAGGTGGGCTGCCTGGCTGTTTTATTGAGTTCTTGATGTTTCGCTTGATCTATAAGTCTCTTACTTCAGATTGATTTTGGTTTCAGAGTGTATATCCTCTCATTCCTTTCAGTTACCCATAGATTCAGATGAATTTCTCTGAATTTCCTCCTCTGCATAGGCATCTTTATCCTCCTGGCTGGTCATTTTTGACTCAGAGCTTTATAGAGCTTCTGCTCCTTTGGATAACTGAATCCAGTCTACATTCTTATCTTTCACTTTAAACATTTAAACATGGGTTCCAAGTCAAATAAATCTACTCTTCCTTAGTAGGCTGAATTTTTTTTCCCTCTGCCCCAAATGTTACAACTTCCTGGATTACACTTTTTCATTGTATTACATAAGTATGCCAGCCTTAGCAATTCCTATTGGCCTTGGATATCTATGTTTCTCTCTGACATTTATGGTTCAGGCTGCATGTTTTTAGGAGGTATTGAAGTGAAGTGGAGTATAAAAGGAAATAGGTAGCTGAAAGACAACCTGGAATCTTCATCTTCTTTCATACCCCTTTCTAGACTCCCTGTGGCCTCTGCATGTTAAGAGGTGACAATGTAATAACCTGTTTGAACTTCAGCATCATTCCATGCAGTTTTATATATTTGTCTTTAGTAAGTACCAATGTAAGTTTCATTTTAAAATGCAAATTGCTATAGTCATGTTGTATGTATATGTTAAAGTCTGTTTAACATATTTTGATACTCACATTGTGAACCTGCTGGTCATTTTCTTTAAGTAGGATAACGACAGACTGAAACAAGGAAAAATCACAATAGAAGAATTTAGAGCAATTTATCGGATCATTGCACACAGAGAAGAAATTGTTGAGATTTTCAACACATATTCTGAAAACCGGAGAATTCTTTTTGAAAGTAATTTGATTGAATTTCTAATACAAGAACAATATACAATTGAAAAAGCTCAAAGTATTGCTTCTGAGATTATTCAGAAATATGAGCCCATTGATGAAGGTATGTCTATCTTTCAAAGTTTTAGCAGAATATTACAAAGTTTTATGAATTATGATTACCAAATTAAAATTTTTGTATTGGTCAAGTTTATTCTAAAAATAAATGAAAGATTGATATTTTATTTTTATATTTTGTACAAAAATATATAAACCTTTCAGAAAAATATAATGTGTAATCATGATATTCTTTATTTTATGGCCTTGTTTTCTTTTATCTGTTGCCACGTATCTCTGAAGTGCCAAGAGTTGAATTCAGTGTGAAAGGAAGAATTTGTTGTTTATATTCTATTATAAAAACGTATCTTCATCTCATGAATAAGTTAAAAACCTAGTTATAGGACGTGCCTTATTTTTAGGGATTTAATTGCTCCAAATGTAGATGAAAATTAAATGAACAAAATGAAAACAAATCTAGGAAGCAAAAGAATTATAAAGACCACTAATTTTTCCTTTAGACAAACAATTGTCCACAACTGTATGTCAGATTTCTTTTTGTTCCTGTAACAAATACCTGAGATGATAAGCTGATAAAGAAGAAAGATTTGCTTCATCAGTTTGGTGATTTCAGTCCATGACTGATGGGTTCAGTTGCTTCATGCCTGTGAGAAGGGAGCACATCATGATAGAAGTAAAAGAGAGAGCAGGAGAGGACAGGTGGGGTCCCGGTATCTCCCTGAAGGGCACACTTACTTCAGTGGCTTACGATATCCAATAAGGCCCCACGTGTTAAAGTTCCTATCACTTCCCAATAGTACCACACAGGAAACCCACGGATGGTTGGGGGACATGGAAAACCAACCTAAGTCATAGGAACAACATTTCAAAACTATCTTAAAACTTTTAGTTTTATTTCCTTTTTAAGTTTTTAGAACTTATTTTTATGTTTTAGTTTATTTTTAGATGATATGTAGCATATCAATATTGTACATATTAATGAGCTATGATGCAATGTTTGGTATATGCAAGCACTGAGTGATTTTTAAATCTGGTTAAGCATTTATCTTCTCAAACATTTATCATTTCTTTATCTTGAAAATTTTCCAATGCCCTTCTTCTGGATTTTTGAGATGAATAGTAAAATTATTTTTATCTATAATCATCTATTATGTAATCATCTAGATATGTCCTCATTCTGTCTCTCTGTCTCTGTCTCTGTCTCT